TTGCATTGTGCTGATTCAGTGTGGCGCTTTGAACAAGCAGCTCAGACATGCTCTAGTGGCCGGAGATGCTGCGCTACAGGTTTCCAGAAGGTTCTGACTGCTCAAGGTTAAGACTTGATTGAATTGGATTCAGCCTCAGTGTCTTACCAAGAGGCTGTTATTATAATGCACAGCATTTTATGGTCATGTTGTAAATAATAATTTAATGCCATAGCTGAACCAATAACGTGCAGTCACCACAGTGCACATCGACTTAAAGGGATAGATCACCCAAAATTAAAGGAATAGTTCACTCAAAAGTTAATATTTGCTGAAAATGTACTAACCCTCAGGCCATCCAAGATGTAGATGAGTTTGTTTCTTCATCTGAGAAATGTATTACATCACATTCATGCAGTGAATGGGTGCCGTCAGAATGAGAGTCCAAACAGCTGATAAAAACATCACAATAATTCACAAGTAATCTACACAACTCCAGTCAATCAATTAACATCTTGTGAAGTGAACAGCTATGTGCCTGTAAGAAACCAATCCATCATTAAGGTGTTATAACTTTAAACAGTTGCTTTTGGTTAAAGTCCATAATACAGTTTATAAGTTCATCCCCTGTTGTCCTCTCACATAAAAATTAGGGGTGCTCCGATTGATCGGCTACCGATCGCTATCAGACGATAATCGCTTTGGGTTGATTGATCAGCGGTCTCTAAAAAGGCCGATCTCAAAAAAACGATCTCAAGCTGATGACGCTGCCGTGAGAAGGTTTGGCACGACATGCAGCGGCACCGTCTCAGTCTCTGTTCGGCGCGAGTGAAATCATTATAATGCTGAAGGTGAGGTACTCAGTGCTCATTACTCCATTTGCAGTGCGTATTTTTTCGGCGCTCATGTTAACGGATTAATAAAGCGTGCACACTGCACACGGTTGCTGTCCGGCAGTGCTCTCCAGGAGCGGTGCGTCTGCAGCAGTGCAAAGATGGTTTCCGCACCGAGTCTATGTTTGCTGCGCTGCACGTGCTGAATTAAAGTAACAGCGCATTGTTTGCAGTAAATATGAACATGGATTGACACAAAAATGTAGTAATTACACCATAAATGCATATTATTAAAGTCTACTGTGTTTCACAGTCAACACATATGGCTTTTTGGCTAGGTTTAAAGGGAAAGAGCACTTTTAGATAAACAAGGCAATAATAGATGGCACT